ACTGTATCAAGTCTTTCTTTCTGAGGATCTTCCTTTCTCTTTCCCAGGCAGTCCTTGGAAAGCGACAGCCACAGAATTTATTCCAACTCATAGCAATGCTGTAGGACAAAGAATTGTCCCACAGGGTGGCCTAGTGGCAGGAAGCTACCCTGCAATCCCAAAGGCATGCAGTTCAAATCCACCAGCTGCTCTGCAGAAGCATGAGCAATCTTTTCCAATGCAATTCACTGTCTCTGAAAACCCACTGAAGGGTCAGCTATGGATCAGTTCTGACACAATGATTCTTAACCACAACAAATCTTTATGGAAGCCAACATTTTTCACCCTTGAAAGGGTTTGGTGGGTTCAAACTCAATTCTATTAACAGTCATGCTGTTTAACTACTGTGCCACCAGGGCTCCCTACTGGATAGTTAGGAAACTGAAATGGTGGTTGTGCGGTCATCTGGTAGGAGTAGCTCTTCAGAGGGCGGGCTCTTCTCTGTGTGCCCGCTCAGGTCTCTTGTCATGGGCTGGTGGGTGTATCCCTAAAGGGTCACTGACCGCTTACTGTATCCAGGATCATCAATGCAGAGAAATCTGAGTTCAATGAGGATCAGGCCGCCTGTGGACAGCTGAGCATCCGGCGATCTGAATTTGGCACTGCCGAGGATGAGGAGTGGCTAACACTATGCCCAGAGGAGGTGAGCAGGGTGGGGCCAGGTCACCACAGTGACGGGCTGCAGGTCCCATGCCTCAATGCAGGTTCTTCAGGGCCTGATGCCAACTCCTCGCAGTTCCTGACAGGTCATTACTGGGCCCTGTTTGATGGGCACGGTGGCCCTACAGCAGCCATTGTGGCTGCCAACACGCTGCACTCCTGTCTGCGTCGGCAGCTGGAGGCTGTGGTGGAGGGTGTGGCGGCACCCCTGCCCCCCATGAACCTCAGCGGCTACTGCGTCTGCCTCAATGACCCCCAGTTTGTGGAGGAAAAGGGCATCCGGGCAGAAGATGTGGTGATCGGGGCCCTAGAGAACGCCTTCCAGGAATGTGTGAGTGTGGCCTGTGGCCAGAGGGTCTGTCCCTGGGACCTGACAGAGCCGAGAAGTGCTTGTGCACAATAGTAGACACCCTGCATCTTTGGGAGGAAGAAGACTGAATGTCCCTTAATTGGCCATTGTCATCATAACCCCTACTCTGGGCAAATGCTTCTTTTCTACCCTACATTATTGGCCACTCTGTTGTCCTGGAGGTAGTTTCTCTTCCTCTCAGACTTGTCTCCATTTCTACCAGAGAGCTGCAGGAGCTAGGCTAACCAGGCCTGCAGGGGGAAGTGGACTGTACAGTGGGAGGTGGGGACAGTAGAAGTGGCTGCTGAGATGGCCTTGGTTTGCTTCAGGATGAAGTGATTGGGCGGGAGCTGGAGGCCTCAGGCCAAGGGGGCGGCTGCACTGCCCTGGTAGCGGTGTCCCTGCAGGGAAAGCTGTATGTGGCCAATGCTGGGGATAGCAGGTGAGTGAGCCCCAAAGGTGGGATGGGGGTGCACCTGAAGAGGCAGCAAAAGGAGCTGTTGTGGGGTATAAAGAGTGACTGGCTGGGGTTTTGTGAGTCAAGAGAAGGGTGGGCAGTAATTGCCAGGCTGCTCAAGGTAGCCTGAGCCTTTACTTGCAGGCCTTAAACAGTCTTGGCGGGCATGGAGTAGGCATTTGTATGGGTGAAGTGGGTGGCTGGAGGAAAGAGGCTTTGGAGACTTCCCTGGAAGACTTGTACCTTTCTGCCTTCCCAGGGCCATCTTGGTCCGGAGAGATGAGGTCCGGCCATTGAGCTCCGAGTTCACCCCTGAGACTGAGCGGCAGCGGCTCCAGCAGTTGGTAGGTGCCCTTGGCAGGGAGAGTTCAGAGAACCCCCACTTTTGGGTCCAGGGCCACCCGAGGGAGCCTGACCTAAATATGGCCTCCCCACCCCAGGCATTCATGTACCCTGAGCTCCTGGCTGATGAGTTCACCCGACTTGAATTCCCTCGACGGCTGAAGGGGAATGACTTGGGGCAGAAAGTTTTGTTCAGGGACCACCACATGATCGGCTGGTGAGCTCATTGTATGGGGTACACGGTGGGAGAACCAGCTTTGTAACCAGCCGCAGTCGCCTCCCATCAGACAATGGGATGCTCAGAGGATGTGGGAGCCAGGACCCGGCTGGGATGCACTGAGATGGGGAGGAGAGGCTGGATTGATGCCATGTTTACTACTCAGGAGCTACAAGCATGTGGAGAAGTCTGATCTCAAGTACCCACTGATCCATGGACAGGGTAGGCAGGTCAGCGCCTGGTACCCCTCTGGGAAGCCCTCTTCAGGTGCCCCCTTGCAGCGGTGGGAGCTCCTTTGTCCCTTGCTGGTGTCTTGTGGTCTGCGTCTAGGAGTGTTCCTTCTTCGAGCCTGGTCTCCCAAGAGCTTTCTTCCTCCCTGTGTACCAGATGCTAGAGCCTATCACTTGTGTATTTATTTGCCTGCCATCACCTCATACTCCCTTACCCCCAGGCTCGGCTACTGGGAACGCTGGCTGTCTCCCGGGGCCTGGGAGATCATCAGCTCCGAGTCTTGGACACGAACATCCAACTCAAGCCCTTCTTGCTCTCTGTCCCACAGGTGAGGGCCAACCTCAGCAAGATGGATGGTGAGACTTGGGGAAGCTGGGAAACAGGAGCTGAAGGCTTCTTGCTTGCAGGTGACCGTGCTGGATATGGACCAGCTGGAACCACAAGAGGAGGATGTGGTTGTCATGGCGACTGATGGGCTCTGGGATGTCCTTTCCAATGACCAGGTGGCGCGGCTGGTTCGAAGCTTCCTACCCGGGAATAAGGAGGACCCACACAGGTATTGTTGCTGCTTGGGACCTGCCTGGGCTGCTTCTGGTGCCAGCAGCACCTAAAAGGAGTTATGGTTGACATGACACTGAGTGAGTCTGGCTCAGGATGTTGGGCTGTGAGCATCAGGCCTGTTGTCTCTGGCTTCCTAGGGATGGCTGTAACTGTTCTTCCCTTCAAAACTTGTCTTGACTGTGGTCCAGACTTATCACTTGCTGGACCCCATTGCTTGGGTCCACAGGTGCCCAGCACAGTTCTGAGAGCTGGCCCATTGCACTGCCTACAGTGTGTACCTGGCAGGACGGTCCTCTCCCCACAGGTTCTCGGAACTGGCCCAGATGCTGATCCAGAGCACGCAGGGGATGGAGGACAGCTCTGGAGAAGGGCAGGTGTCCTACGATGATGTCTCTGTGTTCGTGATCCCCTTGCACAGTAGGGGAAACACTGGCCAGTGAGGCAGGACACTGCACCTCGAACCACCTGGGTGCCTACAGTGTGGACACGGCTCTGCTCTGTCCAGACAGAGCCTAGGACTCTTGCCCCTCATTCCAACTCTGGCCCATCCACAGGAAGCATTTACATCACAGTCAGAACTGGAAGGAGGCAGTGCCAGGCTCACCTGGTACCTCCTTTAGCAGGCAGGGACAGCACTAAATTAATGCCCCACTGTTAAAGAGGTGTAACATGCAGGGTAGGAACTTTCAGGCAGCCTCACACTGGGCTGATACAGTATCTTAAAGACACCCCATCCTCCCCTAGGAGGAGGACACACAAGGGAGAATGAAAAAGATAGAGGGGGCGGCCTGGGGCAGAGGTGGGGAGGCCCTGTTCTCATAGGCAGGCTCCTCTGGCCTAGCCTTCGGCCCTGCACTGATACCTAGAGGTGCCTCCGATTTGTTGATCCCCGTAACCTGTTATTAAATGATTTTGTTCAGAAGAATCCTTGTGAATTGTCCGTCTGAGGCTTTCTGAACCCTTCTTGCCCTGTGTCTGCATTCAAAAAAGAAAAAGGACCAACTTTCCCCCACTGCTATATTCCATAGCCTGTCACTTTAGGCATTCACTGTGCCCAGCAGAGTCCTGACAAGGTGGTAGTGGCAGCTCCGAGCAACCTCTTTAGGGGTTTCCCAGTCAGGAAGCTGGTAAGCACGAGTTTTACTTCTCTTTTCCTCAGCGTGGCTCTTGCTTCCTCCCTTAGCAGAGTGTGGGCAGTCCTGCGCCTGCCTTCACTCACATCACCTGCAGAGCCAGCTTGCCCCCACAGCCTGATTTGCTTCTCACCCAGCCTGCTTGTGCTCTTCACACTATGAGGCTAAAGTGAGAGGAATAGGGGCAGTGGATCTCCCAACTGCAGGGAGGGCTGACAAAGTGACAGAAGCTGCTGCTGTAGGCTAGGCTGTGGGAAGTCTCCCAGCAAAGCCAAACAGGCAGTAAACAATCCCATTAGAACACAAGGGCTCACTGCCTCACGCTGATCCCCCAGAGAGCCCTCCACAACCAAGCACACCCAAGCCATGCGTGCCCATGACCCTGAACAATCTACTGACTGTCGGTATCAATCTGAACAAACATCAAGGTAAAGGAAGACAGTAGGCGTACAAGCAGCCTAGGGCTTGCGCCAAATGCCATATTCAAGGTGAAAAAGTTGATTCATGACTTTTTGGTTGTTCATGTCTGGCACTGTGGTCTGTTGTTGAAGCCTAAGGTTGAGGAGCCCCTGGCTATGTTCCAAGACCTGGGCCTGAGGGAGGCAAGCAGAGAAAGGCCAGCAATCTACCCACATGGCATTAGAGTGAGCCCCAGCCCAGTGTGAGCCCGAAGGATGAACAGAGACCCCTTACTCTTCCTTGAAGCACTACAGAAACTCGGCGGAAAAGGCTACAGCCATAAAATTTTGTTCAAGACTATTAACATGGAAAAAATGTTTATATGTTAAGTACAAAAGGGACATAAAATTGTATATACAGTAGAATAACAACTATGTAAACACACCAAAAAAACTATGCACCAAAATGTCTAGAACATTTAACACCAAAAGATTACACTGGTAGCATTTGGATGGCAAACTGATTCTTTAAAAAAATTTACCAATTTCTCTTAATAAGCATTATGATTGAAACAGGTTAATTTTTTAAAAATACCTTCTGGCTGGTGGTTGAATGTGTGGTACTGCTGTTGCATACAAACCGGCTGTTCTGGCCCAACTCCTGAGGGCTGCAAGTAGCCAGTCATGGAGGCAAACTCAACCACCACTGGCCCCATGGTCAGCACCAAAGACCCAGCCTCGAGCCTTTCTGGCCAGAAGCCCTTCTGCTCTCTCCCACATCTCAAGTGTTTTCCTGCTCTATCTTCCCTACTCTGCCTAACTCCATAGTCAACTCTGCAGCCACAGAGCTCAGCCCTTAACAGAAGCCCCACAGTGACAGTGACATGTTTTCAAAAGATTATGTCTCAATTTTGGGTGCAAAGAAAACATTGTTGCTGAGCAAGTCATGCTTGATGGTTTGTGCAGGTTGCAGATTTGTTAATTATGCAGCCTTTTTTAACCACTTATAAGAGCCCTCTTGAACAGTTACTCCTACTATAAATTTTCCACCCAAGAAGGCTGGCAGTGTGCAGAAACAGCTCAGATCATATGGTTTCTCAAGTACCTCTGCTATGCACTGGGTGGCACCTAAGCAGCTGCAGACTTCAGGCTGTCTTTGGAAAAGGTAAACTACCCTTTCATGTGAGAAACAAGTCAGAAAGTAACTGCTTAACTACAGATTAAAAGGGCAATGATGGCTGATTTAATCACCTAGCAGATACATACTACTGGGCAAATGACAATTTTGTTGAGCTAAATTCTTAGAACTGCAGGGACTGTGTGTGTTGCCTGCTTAAATGTTTGGGAACTAAGCAAATGAGCATATCTTGTTCTAATAAGTCCATGCAGGGGTAGAAATGGCAGTGAGCCAACTTCAGTCCATCTCAACTTATGCCTGGTGAGCACCCCTCCCTTTCCAAGATCAAGCAAGGAAAAGAAAAGGAGCCTCAAACAGAGTATGTTCTGGTTCCAGCATCCTGTCTGTAGCTACTAAAAGCCAGACAAAAAAGGCAAGCAAGAGCTGTCAGAGACATACAGGTGCAGACAAGGCCATCATTGGGCAGAGTGGGACTAATACTGCAGAGAGGGCCCCGAAGTGCCATTTGAGGAACACAGGGAGTCACCTCAAGACCCTCACTTAGCTGCCATGGAAACAGCAAACACTTGAAGCTTTGCTTCACTCAATCTCCTGAAGGAAAAATGTAATAAGGAAGACTAATACTCGTGGCAAACACTATTAGCAAAGATGCAGTCTTTCTCTTGGGCTGCCGCTGGACTCTTAATCCTGTCAGCCAAACGCCAAGAAATAACAGATGATTACAAGGAAACCAGGTTTCTTAACAGCCTTAAACCATATATATGTATATATAGTTTAGATAATGCACATGTGTGCATCCAGAGAGAGATATTTAAACGAAGGTGCACACATAGTGCTAAGATACAACCAGGAATCAAGATCATATATAAAAAGGCTAAATAGAACATATAACACAGGCCTAGAACCAGCTCTTGGATGGGAGCTGGGAAAAGGGTGGTACCACCTGAAGACTATGTACACAATTTTGGTGGCAGGGAAGCATCAGTGTAAACAACTCAGACTCTTTCTACAATACTGGCCCCACAGGAAAGTGTGATCAATAAGGTACAAAGACAGGCTCTCCCACCTTGCTTTTGTACACAACTGGGCTCAGTAGGCACCCAGGAGGACCATCTGTCTAACCAATGACTAGGATTGTACCAAGCTGCTGCTATATCTCTCATCCCTGCCATTCCTTTCAGGCTCTCGGGCCTTTTACCATCAACACTGAGGGCCATGAGGCATGCCCAGATAACCTAACCTTCACATAACTAATAACCACCCAGCTTCCTGACAAGCGAGGTCCTTCTTGATCTAGATACATGAAAACTTATTTCTGTAAGGTTTGGCACCTAAGAAACATGATGGTTGTGGAATAAGCCACAATGACACAGGGAGACTTAAATAACAGGACATGCAGGGCAAGGGCAAGGGGCTGAGCTGCCCTACATCTCATAACTAGAACTGCAGCTTCCCATGCATCTATGGGGTAGGAGAAGGGATGTGCAGAATTAACTTTACCGGCTCCTCAGCAGCAAATACATTCAGAACTGAAGGCGTCTTAAAGGCCCATTAAATCCTATCATTGAGTCTGGTCACTCCTTTGAGGAAACAGGTGCATTAACCGCTGGAACACGAATCCTGATGGAGTCTGCCGTACCATGAGTCTCTCTCAGAAGCACAGCAAAGGGATGGTTTGTGATATCTTCACTTGCGCAAACATGTGCAGGACATCCATGGGAGGCCATGTGAAAGGATGCTCTCTGGCCCAGTCAAATAATCCAATCCCAGTCCTCTCTGAGTTTTTTTTTTCTGCTGGCCCCCTCAGTACACAGAAAATTGAACAGCATCACAGTCAGTCATCAATGGTGGGCAACCAAAAGGCCTGGAAGAACAACACAACTTAATAAAAATCAAACCAAAAAATCCCATAATTCTCTCCTCACTAGAGTTTTTCATACTCTATACCCCACAACATTAAGGCACTCAACCCCAGTGACAGGAGTGTTATGGCTGGCTGGCTGCCCTCTCTCAGAAACCACCACCTCTGGCAATCTATGAAAGACAATCAATCCTCTTGGACAGTAAGGTGGTTGTTCTCCTCTAACACTACCTTCCACCATATGGTCCAAGGGAAAAAAGGAATGGAGCCTAAGCGGTGGGGGCCTTACTAATCAGGCCTCACAGCTAGTCTACAATCTGTCCTTAGCAATGTCCAGATATAACAGCAAAGTTTTGCTCTATTTCTCCTGATACTATTTACTTGACTTTTTAAAAACAAGGAGGGACAGGACCAGAAAAGAGAGCACTCTGGGTGGGATGGTAGTAAAGATTCCAAGGGGTAAGAAAAACTGACCCTCTGTTCTGCTTGGATTGTCTAGGAGACACAGAGGCCTAAATGAAATTCTAAGTGATGAATTAGGATTAACGAAAGACTTTCTAAGGAATTCAATATAGATGAAAAGAAAAACTGAAAGGTTGCAGCCACAAATGGCTAGTTCAGAATATTTCAAGGAGCAAAAATCCCTGTCAATGGTCCTAATCACCTTAGGCCTAAACTGGGGGGGACAGAGTGAAAGCTGGCTTATCCTAGCTCAGAGGTGATCCCAAATCATAGGAAGAAGAGTAAGCATGCAAGACCAACCAAATAGAGATTAACTAACACTAACAGGAGATGAAATAAGGCGGTCACCAACTGAAAAACACTGCATGCTTGGAATGTATCTAGTATTTAGAACACTGTACACCCAACTGTAAAGTTCCCCTAGAAGGGCAGCGCCCAGTTATTTACATACCATGTTGGAACACGCACTGGCAAAGGTCATAAACTTGGGGTTGAACTGCAAACAAGTAATAGGGCCTGTGTGTTTTCCATCCAACACTGCTACTTTGATACCACTCTCTCCATTCCAGACATGGATCTTGCCATCCTCTGAACCTGAAGAGAAGAATCAAAGAAAATAGGGGAGCACTGGTGGCCTAGTGGCAAGAAGCTGCACTGCAATCCCAGAGATATGTGGTTCAAATCCACCAGATGCTCTGCCGGAAAAGGAGGGGCAATCTCCTCCTGTACCCGTCAGATCTGATTTAACAGTACAGACATACACAAAATAATAAAAAATTAAAAAAAGAAAAAGAATCAAAGAAAATGTGTGACTGCTCAAGATACCATACAGACAATGGACATGAGACGCGGATTGAGGTCTTCAGAGGCTGAGCTTCAGGATGAGCATTCAACAGAAATATAATCACTAAAACAACTGGAATGCAGGAGTATGCCAGAAGTTAACATTACTAATAAGGTAGTGCTTTAATTCTAACACAGATCCACAGAAGAGCATTAAAATGTCAGTTCCAATAAAGCGAATACAAAACCAATAGTTTAAAAACCATGTACACCTTTGGCATAAAGTGAAATAGAAACATAAAAATCTGAGAACATGTGCCATGCAGACAATTTTGCAAATAAGAGTTAAATGCACATAGGCACTGAGTTGGAACCGACTGCCTTTTTTTTCCAGTGGAGCCACTGGTAAATTCAAACCAGCGCCTTTAGGTTAGCAGCACAACTCTCTGCGGACCACACCACCAGAGTGCTCTATAATGGTTAATACTAGCAAAAAGAATTAAAATTTGAAATGTATCCCCCCCCAAAAAGTAAAACTCACTGCCTTTGAGTTGACTGTGACTCAGGAAAACTCACCATAGAGTTTCTTAGACTGTAAATGGTAATGGATGGAGACTGCCCACTTTTCCCATGAAGCAAATGATGTAATTAAGCCATTCGGTTAACAGATCACTATGACACCAAAGCTCCCTAAATAAATGTCTAAGGCCATGGCGGGAAAAGGAGGAATCTCACCAATCATAATAAACTGGGAGTCTGGAGTAAAGGAAGCCTCCAATGTGACAGCTTTGCTGTTGGCATAACCCTAAAACAAAGCAGAGCAGTTATGGGAGCATTCAAAAACAACTGCCTACACATGCACCCCAACCTAGAATACACACCACCAAAGTTCCAAATATGACTACTGCCCTTTAAAAATCATCGCTCCTTTCCAACTCCCTATGAGAGGGCAGGAGAATGGTATACTGTCAGAAATTACTTTGTGTCTAAAAACCAAGTGAGGGTCAATAAGAAAAGGAGAGATGTTCCAGTGCCCTCAGAATCCAAAGGAAGTCCATATGGAAGGAAAAATGCAAACCCATGCCTTGACACTGGTTCTCCACTGAACAGCTAACGTAATTCTCAGCCTAGGAGTATCAGCATGGAAACGGCCATTCTCAGAGCACTAGCTCACCCCAAACGTGTGCATCACCACTCCCTTGAATGCATCAATGAGACGAATGAAGCTGCCATTAGTAGAGATGAGGATGAGTTTGCCGTCATTGCTGAACTTCAGTCCTGTCCACTCACAAGTTCGATCATACTGCATCTTAAAGGTAGCAAATGGTCCCTGAAAGAAGTAAGAACAGCCTCAGACCCACAGCCCATTAGTAATTCCTGCTGCAAAAATTAACCCCCAGTCCCAGTCACTGAGTTGTTGCTGAGGACTCAGTTTCTCCCCCTGGAGCCTCCTCACTTCCCAACACTCTGTCTTCCCCGCCCACCTTCCACATGCTGTTTCCACCAAGAAAAAGGATTGTATTGTATGTCTGCTATCCAGAACCTCCACTATTTTGACTCCTTTGCTGATTCAAGTAAGGGTGATCTCCTGCTTCCTGCTGGGACTGAGGGTTGTCCATATAAGAATTCAACAGAGAAATGGTCGGAAGACTGAAGTGATAGTAGCTGAGGATTATGATAAAAAGATACTAGTGATGGCATTTAAGAAGAAATCATTCTGAATATGGAGAAGCAATTCGGCTAAAGGGTGACCAGCACAAGAAGGTATGTCAATTCCCTATAGAAATTGGACTGGCTAAGGACGGCCAGCTGAAAGTTTGTAAGTGCTTGTGGCTCACTGAGGCTTAAGTGAAGACTTCCCGGCAGTGAGCAGAAAATTTCCCTTGTCACAGTTAAAAATTTCACAGCCTGTATAATGTAACCACTTTAATTTGGACTAGTGTAACTCCTTCACGCAATAAATGGAAAAGAACCATAAAAAAAAATTAACCCCCATTCTATCCTCTTTTTTTGATTAGGGAAAGCAGAGAATGAAGTGTAGCTCTGTCTCTCACCAACAGCTAGCACCTATCTTTCCTTGACTGAGAAAAAAGCTCTTAATCATCCTTGCTCCTAAATATTTCCACGTCAAAATAAAAAAATCAGATTTACCTTATCAAAAGAACGAAGATCATAAAGTTTGACCATTTCAGAATTGACACCCGCAGCAAAAATTAACCCTTCTGGATCAAAAGAACAAACTGGCTTGCCCTGTAAATGCATAAGACCCTAGGAGGGGAAAATAACAAGTTAATGAATCTAGGATTCAATACCAGATAATTTACTTTTGCTAATGGGAGGGAAGAGCCCAAGATAAGAACAGAGACTAGCCTACAGAAGGGAAGCACAAACAGGAAACTAACTTAAGAAGAGCTCTGGTGGCCTTGTCAGTTAACTGTTGCACTGTTAACAGAAGAGAAAACTAACTAAAATGTTACTTTTTTGGAAAAAGTCCCCTCTCAACACAAAACTAGGCTCCCATTTTGTTCAACTCATTTCAGGCTAATGCTAACAATATTATATAAATTAATTCAATAAAAATAAAACCCTTGAATCTAAAACCTATAGCTAAAAACATTCAAGAAAACTATTTTAAGGCAGTAAGCCACAGATCATAATGCAAACTACACTGAAATATGTTTACCATCTACTACCAGGCAAAAGGGTTTTCTCCCAAGTTTGTGATCACTCTGGAATCTAAGAATAGAAACATTGTTCCTTGACTCCCCTTTACTGAGAGAAGAGTTGATTACAGGGCCTACCACAGAAAATACTCAGAAAGTGTAACTGAGTACTATTACCTGGCAGTTAGGAGACCGAAGATCCCAAAGTCGAATGGTCTTATCAAGAGACCCAGAAATGAAAGTGTCATCCACAGGTGACATGGACAAGGCCACTACCCTGCAATGCATCAAGAGTGACAGGAATTGAAGCAAAATATTAGCAAAATATGGGTTTAAGCCCCAAACCACCCTACCAGCCTGTATATACAATATCTCCTACAATTTGCCATTTTAAGAAACAAACTAAAACACATAACAAAGACAGCATAATGGGAAAAGTAATGTAGAGCTATAATATAAAAATGTATGATTACAATGTGAATCAAAACTATAATTATATACCACTTCACACCCAGCAGAGTTACTGTGATCTAAAAGACAGTAACAAAGATTGTGAGCATATGGAAAAATCAGAACCTTCATATAATGTTGGTGGGAAGGAAAAACTGAACAGCGGCTTGGGAAAAAATTTATAATCTCTTCAAAAGACAGGTAAAGAGTTATCACCAATCACTCCACTCCTACATATATACCTAAGAAAACTAAAAACACAGGCTGACTTTTCCACAAATGTTCAAAGAAGCATTACTCAAAATAGCCACACAGTAGAAACCACTCAAATGCCCCTCAGTGACCAAGAGATACACAGAATTAAGTATATTCATATAATGACATCCTTTGTCTCATTACTATCACGTCAAAATGTATTCATAGCTGACCCTCCAGTGGGTTTTCAGAGAAAGCAAATCACATGGGAAGAGAATGCTCATCTTTCTCTCATGGAGCAGGGAGTGGATTTGAACCACTTGCCTTCTGTAGGTTGGTGGCTCAACTCTCTACCACTAGGCCACCAGAGCTCCTTAATGATATTTCAGTCAAAAAACCAGACAGATCTATAAATGAATATTAAGACCAGCAAAGAATATACTCATTAGCACAATCAATTATATGAGACCAGAAGGGCAGTAAGTATCTGCCTTAAAACAAAGCTCAAAAGGCAGGAAGAGAAGGAAGGATGAATGGAAGTGTGAACTCAGGGAGGAAATGGGACAGAAATGCTGCTACCTTGTGGGGAATGCAACCAATGTCAGGAATCAAAACACACAGAAAAAAGATGACTAGAAAATTAATCTGCTCTATACTGAGATTATTAGCAGCTTCAGTTTGCTTGGCTCTACAATCAACACTCTTGGTACCACCAGCCAGGAAATTAAAAGATGAACTGTCGGCTGACAAAGTCGGCTGTTAGAGACCTCTCTCAGTAATGAAGGCAATAATGTCAGTCTGGAGACTAAGGTGTGCCTGATACAGATCTTAGCAATTACTTGCGATGCATCAGAAAGCTGGACAGTGACTAGGGAGGAAAGAAGAACTGATGTTTTGAGCTGTGGTGCTGTAGATAAGGACTGAATATACCACGGACTGCTAGGAGAACAAAGAAGTTCATCCTAGAGAGGGTGAAGCCATGCTGCTACTTGGAGGCAAGGATTCTGAACCCTCATCTGACATACTGTGGATATGTTGCAAGGCAGGATCAGTCCTTGGAGAGGGACATCATGCTTGGGAGGGTGGAGGGACAGCACAGGGGAGGAAGACCCTCAAAGAGATGGACTGATTCAGTGACTGGGGTAATGGGGGTAGGTATCAGAGACAGTAAGATCTGCACAGGATAGAGCAGGGTTTAGGGCTGTTGTACATAGGGGTCTATGAGCTGTAGGTGACTCGAAAGCATATTAACAACAAACCAAACACAAAAATAATTAGTAATTAAAAAGGTGAGGGTTGGGTGATAAATACTGATTCATGTTCTACTACTGATAAACCTTAGAAGTACTGTGCTTAATAATGGCTGATTAGACATTATAATTAATTAACTGCATTCATCAAGGCTAATTTTTAAAACTCCAACATTGTGCTAAGCTAAAAGAGTCAGACATAAAAGACTACATGTCTTTTATATTTATATGAAATGAAAAACCCAAAATGGGCAAAACCATCTCTCTTTCACTGCTACTTAGCCAGAAGTGATTTACAGCTGACACTCCAGAAGGTTTCTGAAGCTGTATAAAGTGTTGAGAAGACACTGCCTATTTTCTCCCATGGAGCTAGACTGGTGGCTTAGCCTTACCAAGTCACTCCCTATGGACTTCTCTATAGGATGGATGGATGGATGGATAGATAAAGAGGGAGGGAGGGAAGAAAGGAGGGGGATGGGGGGAGAGAGAATATAGGTATATGCTTATCAAGAGTTGGGAGAGGGAAATGACATGCTGACTGGCAATGGGCGTGGATTTCTTTTTGGAGCGATGAAAATATTCTGGAACTATAAAGTTGCAATGATGGTTGCCAGACTCTAAATTGTTGTTACTGTTGTTATGTGCCATCGAGTCGCTTGCAACTCATAGCGACCCTATGTACAACATCCCTAAACTCTGCTCTGTCCTGTGCCAATCGCACCATCTCTGACACACCCAACCCGATTACCCCAATCACTGAATCAATCACCTCATAGGGGGCCTTCCTCTTCTGCGCTGTCCCTCCACCCTACCAAGCATGATGTCCCTCTCCAAGGACCCGTCCCTCCTTGCAA